AGTACACCGTAAGCTTGCTTTCATCACTCAGCTCTAAGGCACTGTCATCATGCGTCTTGCACAGGAAATCCGTTTCGTCAGACGCAGCATTCACCACTGTAACGGCTCTACTCTCGTCACTGTTACACACACCGTCCCGCAGCGTGAGTACCAACTGAGAGATCCTAGGCTCCTCGGTTCCTATCGCCAGCACCTTCTGCTTGACGAAGCCCTTCAATATGAAAGCCATGGGTTTCATAGTGCGAATGTGCATCATCTCCTGGAACTTCACGAAGGTAACAAATGATACACCTGTGGAGCTATCATGTACTTGATCGGCGGGCACATTGAGCAATTCAGAACAAGCCATACCAGTAGGCAACGACAGCTCGGAGCAATCTGCCAAGGTCAGACCAATTCTGTTGCCATTGCTCTCCCATGGGGCACGTTTCTGAAAGGAGTTCATTACTCGGAAGGAGGACGCATGACAACCAATACCACATGAGGCACCAGTGCAGGTAGACACTAGCCCGTAAGATAAAAGCACCACCAGTGCGATGCGAACGACACAAGCCAAGGTACCCATTAGTGCTTTCTACCTAAAGCCTTCCAGCTACACCACGTGGAGGTTGGTACCGTAGTAGACCCCAGAGGCCTCGCCTCAGCTCGATAGCCGAGACAGCTCCAAACGCAGTCCTATATAGATCACGAGAGTGGGGGAGCAAACATCACAGATCCCTAAACCCTAGGACCCTTTCACCAAAAAAGCGCTTAACGACTTTAGAATATAAACTTTAATCATCTCCAGACAAAAGGAAAGGGGCCTAAAACAAAAATCTCGTGCAGGTGGTCGAAGCATTCACGTCACTGCGACTGCCGGAATCACCAGTCTTGGTCGACTGTGGCTCGTCTAAGGGTTCAGATCTCAAGCTATGATTTCATAGCCTCATAATAATAATAGATACAGTAACAACATCAACCATAACAGTCAGAATGGTCAACATAAGCATCATGATACTACTGTTGGTTAAAGATAACTCTAAATTTAGCAAGCGACAGTGTGAGAATTTGTAGTAACAATCACAAGGATAACAACAGTGTTTATATTTTCAATACTGGTGATAATAAGGATAAGCGCTTTGCATTGTCGGAATTTGGTTTGAGGGTATCTTTTGCTTTCTTGCGGTGGGGACTACATAGGAATACTCTGATCCTTTGATGGCCCAGATCTTCTAGACTGTACAGCGCCCTGTTGTACAGCCTTAAGACCTGCGGTGCGGTTTCAGGCCGGCCGTGTTGAGTGTCCAGACTATGGATGGTTTTGAGACCCAGCCCTGAGTTATTTGAGGCACCCTGGGAGGGGCCGGCCATAGCCAGGCTGGGGGCATCGCTGCTGTGCGTGTAGGATCGGCGGTTGGATGGGAGCCTGTTGCTTATGCATGCTGTCTTCCGACAAGCACCGTACCGCCGACTATGCAGGCAGCAGGAAAGTAAGGTCTCTACCTGGCATCCGAAAACTTTGGCAATTCGGGCTGTCTGTTGCTCGCACGATCTCGAAACTGACTACAGTGACTACAGTAAAGCGAAGCCATAGAGGAACGCGATGCTCAGGCACAAGTTTAGCGAGGGATGTACATGCCTAGTCAGCTGCTCAAAGCGGAAGTCCTGCCTCATCACGAGGCTATAAAATCATGTCCAGTTGTCGCCTCTGAGGCGCAGTCTCGTACGCTCTTCGGTACAGTACGTGGGGTCGTGCAAGCAGTTTTGTTGTCTCGCCTGAAGAGTGCGTCTTCCACATCTTCCACACATCCGACTGCGATCCACGAGACCTCATACTACTTGGCTTCTGCGAGATTCTGAGGGCGTAGCTGACAATGGAGTTTCCGCAAATAGGGGACCCTAATATAATTTAGGGGCTGCGCCCAGGTGCGGGCAGCGCGAGCTGTTGTCAGAAACCCGCGGTATATAGATAAGTGCAACGTAGGCCCGAAGTGCTCAACTTGTGGGTGATCGTAGGCTCTCAGCCCCCGTCGGCCCTGCATGTAGCCCGCACCCCCCGTCCGCCGGACCCAGCTGATGCTCATGATGCGCGCCCTTTGGCGGCTTCCGCAACCCACTCAAAAACTTGGGAGTTATGACTTCGCGCCCACGTCGCGCCGCCGGCGCCGGTTGCGGGCGCCCGAGGGCTCATGATGCTCGCCGGCTCGCCTCCTGGGGTCGTCCACGGCGGCCCCGAAACCCGCCACACCGCGGGGAATGGCTGCAAAACGCGTGCGCGTTCCGAGACGCCTTCGGGCCAGGCCCCGCGCGGCCCGAGGGAGAAACGAGGGTCCGATGATGCGGGGTCCGGGGCGGGTCGGCGGCACTGTCGGTCGTGGCTTCTGCTTCGCAGACGAAGCTCATTCGTCTGAGCCATAGCTCAGTCCATACAGGGCAGCGAAGCGCTGCCCGATTTAAGAGCCTCCGGCTCAAGCCGCCGACCCCGTGGGCGACAGACCAGAAGCCGAATGCACTTGTACAGGCAAAGTCGTTTGGTGTCCGCGAGGCCCGTAGGTTTAGTTCTAGAAGGAGACGCCAAGATGGGAAGTGCAAACAAAGCCTTACCGCAGGACCTAAACCCGAAACCTAAACCGTCCTGAAACCCTATGTTCAACACCTTTAGAACCGTTTAGGGTGAGGGTTTCAGGAACATCTTTTCAGTGGCTGGGTATCTTATCCCATAAAAGGTTAACCTTTTAATTGTGGTAGGATCATGTAGGATCAGAAGAGCCCCAAAAGGTTACCTACTCAGCCCCGAAGCCTTGAGAACCAGGTGCCCGGTGCGCTTCTAAGATTGTGAGACAGAACGGGGGGAAGAGGCGGAAGCAGGCGAGGCTGCGCGACGATCACGCGAAGGAGAGGAACAAGAAGCACTTTGGAGCGGAGATGCCAAGGTTGAAGAGGAAGAAGGGGGCAAGGCGGGTGGGGGGGGGAAAGGGGGCGGGAGGGAGGGGGGGAGGGGGGGGGGGAGGGGGGGTCAGGAGAAAAAATTGGCGGTCTCCTCTAGTGAATGATTTGAACCCAATGGGCTGTGGTGTGATGCTTTTGGGGGCTTCGGTGCTGCTTGCAAACAGCCATGGGGTACCCCGCCCCCCCCCAGGTTGCGCCCGGTTTGCGGGATTTTGGTGTGGGAGTAGGGAAAAAGCTTGGGTGCTGCTTGCAAACAGCCATGGGGTACCCCCCCCCCCGCCCAGGGTGCGCCCGGTTTGCGGGATTTTGGTGTGGGAGGAGGGAAAAGGGAGGTTAACACCTCCAAGCCCATCGAGACCCATCCAACACGCCGCCAGGGTCGGCGGACACCCTAAATGGTAAATCGTCATTATTACAAGGACGCCAAAATAAGGTACTCCTAGTTTTCGGAAACTCCCGGTCTCTCAGCCAACATCCTTCTGTTTTCGTAAGATATAGCCCAATTCTAATTATTAAGGCCCCTATATTAACTGACATGAATGCGAATGCTCCAACATGTCAGGCCTTGCTCGAGGCCATACCACAGGCTGGAACTTGAGAGCTGCTGTGCTCACGGGTATATCACGGACGGATGGATGTCTATACAGGAAGAGCCGAAGAGACTACAGAGGGGAAGCCGGCAAGCACACAGACGCAATCTGGGACTGCATGCTTGAAAACCTTCTTTGCAGGGATGCATCAATGCATACATACCTACCAGCCTGCCTACATGAATACACAAATATTCAGCTGCATACATGGGGTCCTGGCGCATACCTGTAAGTGCAGATGGCAGATGCCAAGACCACCGCTACACGTAGGGCCAAGAGGCAGAGACGCACGGAAAAGGAACATGCAGACGAACACAACCCTCGTGCAGTTGCGTTTGCTGCAGGTGCACGCGTTGCATAGTGGCAATCTGCAAAATCAAATCTTTAACTGTTGCAGCTACGTGCATGAGCATAATCAGCGATTAAAGTCTAGTCGGACGCACTCCTCGGGGCCCCAAAGTCCTGCCAAGAAGATTCGAGTAGTCTAGTGTACTCGCTGTTCCGACGAGGCACAGCTTCTGGGCATCGACCGCGACCCATCGGCCCTGAAGGCCGCCGCAGAGCGGCTGCAGCGCTTCGGAGGACGTGCTGAGCTCGGCGCTATTCTGGATATATAATGGCTATTATGATAACTATTACCATTATTAGAGGCTAGCAGCAACAAAGTCACTGACTGGAATTGCAATGACTTCAGGGCGCCCAAGTCTCTTGCATGAGTTGGTGGCCGAACAACGGCTCAGTACATGTTGTTTATGATCGACTTGATCGGTGGCCTCCCTGTTTGCATCCTCTCGGCATCTAGTCAAATCTAAACCTAGCAGTTGACGATAGGGAGGCTGCAGTTCATCTCTGTTATCAGTTTTGCGGAATCAAGGTGTTGTCTCGCCGCATCGCAGCTGAGCCAGTAGCGTTCGATGCAAGAATCTGGTATTGCCTAGGCTTGAAGACGTGAGATGTATGTGCTTTTGTGTATACATATCTGTCAGTGTGTGTCTTATTACATATGTATGCATGTGTTCATAGGAATATGTACGAATGCTTACACACACAGATACACACATTCACACACACAGATATATATATATATACACACACATATGGTAGTATGCATAATAGTAGTAGTTTTATGTATATGCATGTACAACTATGCGACTGTTTATATACAAATGCACGTACACGTATACATATGCATACATACCTATATATATATATATATATGTATGTATGTATACATGCCTATCTACTCGCTTACCTACCTACATGCAGGCATATGCTTTGTACATATTGAAACATACATAGACACATACTCACGCACAGAGACGAATACATGGGCAGGATAGGAAACACGTAAATCCTCACTTGCGACTGAAAATTCTGAGGTTTCGGTACTTGTATCATTTGAATATCGATTAGCTGGCGATCTCAACTTGCATCTCTCGAGTCGCGAGATTCCGAGACAGCTCGGGCAGAGCTGCTGGTGCCATGGCCACAACGATGAGAGCTGCGGTCTACGGCGCGTTCTCTGGGCCGATCAACATCCAGGAGGCCAGGTTCCGTCCCGAAGCACTCAAACCCAAAGTCGAAAGCCAAGAATCGTCCTTGCTAAGTTTGCTAAGTAGGAGGGAAAAGAAGCCAAGGATCCGAAAGCTTAAGGGAGGCCTGCATGGATGCTAAAGCATCCAGGCGGCCCGGGAGGTTTCGGAAGTTCTGATTCATCTGATGGGTCTAAGTCAGGGCAGCTTTGGTAGAAAAGCTCAGAGGGGTTCTTTTGCAGGCTGCATGCCCGGACATAAAATGTAGCTACTGCTGGATCTCTTCAGCAGTTACTGTAGCAGATGTTCTTTCGTGAAATTTTGCAGACAAGGTGCCAAAGCCTTCTGCACCATCGGGAGGACTGCTTCTGAGAGTCAAGGCGCCAGATCTGCCAACATGTCTCCAATCTGAGCAAAGAGGAGACTGAACAGCTCATTCGGCTTCTGGCATCTTGTGGCCGCCCGACAACATCTCCAGGCCTGCGGCGTCTGCCGCTCCGATTACCACGGCTGGAAGGGTTTGGACAGCGACATCGTCCAGTCGCGCAGCCTGTATCAGCCCGCTTTTCGATTCGTTGACACTGAGTTTGAGTTCCCGACGGGTTTAGGGTTTAAGGGTTCAGGGACATCCGACATCCAGGCGGGCATATACAAGTCTGTGCAAAAAGGGTTCAGTGTTTGGGCTCGCAGGTTCAGGGACGGAGGTCAGGATCGGGAGGGTCATCTTTGACTATCTGGATTTTCTTGTCCTAGGGTCTGGAGTAGAGTCCCACAAGTTTGGATATCAGAGATTTCCTCTTCACGCGGACGTGAGTACAGAAATCCTGCCGATCTGAGCTCACAATGAGTTTCACTCTTGCATTGTTGAGGCCTGGCTCCAAACTCGAAGTATCACCAACGGCAAGGCGGTTGTGAAAACCCTGTGTAACCCTAAACCGTCCCAGCCAGTGAGAGGCAAAACACCCTAGTAACAAACACAAATTTTGTATTACACGTAGTGTAGGAGATTTCGCATATTGTGCTATACTAAATTGTTGTTTGATAACATAAGACAATAAAAGTAATTTGCCTCCGTTGTTGACAAGACACCCAGGCATGGCCTGCCCTTCACGCCGGGTCATGAGCTGCCTTCTGTCTGAACGAACCTAAGAGCTCATCGCGCTTGGGGTTTGCAAAGTTGGTGTTCACATGCTTTAGGGTAAAGAAATGGCTCAGCAGGGTCTTATGCTTCACATGGTTTGCGCTCAAGTCAGGGCTTCCAAATGCTTCGAAGGATATCAAGAGAATTTGGAGTAGTTAGCATACAAGTAAAACAATAGCTTTGAAATCTCCTCCTTAGACAGATGTGTTTGTTCGTTTGCACCACCTATTCGGCCATCCACCATCCGAAGTCGATCCTGGTTCTATTGGTGAGCTTTCTGCTATGGACAACAAGCGAAGGGTGCAACCATGTGGGTGATTGTCAATACAAGGGTGCCTTTTCGGGTCCTTCTTATATTATATTATAATACGACACCCAATATTCAGGGTACCCAAAAACCGTAGTTTTGACAACCACCCATGTGTTCAACCATAGGCCCCGGAGACTTTTGGCGAGGCGAAGTCCTGAAGCGATCATTTGCTGGTAGGTGATGTGCATCGGCGGAACCAGTTGTAAACTTAACTACATGTGGTTCCTACTACTTACTACTTACTAGTTATCATTATTGTTACTACTGCTCCTGCTATCACGACGACGACGACTACTACTACTACTACGACTACGACGACAACTACGACTACTACTACTACTACTGCTACTACTGCTACTGCTACTACTGCTACTACTGCTACTACTGCTACTACTGCTACTACTGCTACTACTACTACTACTACTACTACTACTGCTACTACTGCTACTGCTACTGCTACTACTACTACTGCTACTGCTACTACTACTACTACTACTACTACTACTACTACTACTACTACTACTACTTCTAATACTACTACTACTACTACTACTACTACTACTACTACTACTACTACTACTACTACTCATCATTGTTACTGCATGCTACTGCTAATGCTACCGGCACTGCTACACCTACACCTGCACACACACACACATGCGCGGCGCACATGCATCCTAGCATACTAGAATGCCGAAGATCACTTATCACACTGCAGTGTAAGTGCAATCGTATTGCAGCGACGTACATGCATGGTGTATAACTATCATAACCATATATGCGCCCACACAGGCATATACACACATACATATATATATATATACACACACACACACACATATACATACATACATATATACATATATACATATATACATATATTTGTATATATATATATATATATATATACATATGTATATCGTGTCGTCCTGCGTGCGTGTGTGTGAGCTGTATATTGTGTGGAGAACCATTTATCAGCTGCTATATGTATATATATATATATATATATGCATACAACAGTCCAAAATGTTGTGCAATTTATAATGCAGCGTAACGTAGTGTCACGTTGTGCGCCAATGAAGCATACTGCGACGTGATGGCATGCCATGAAAACTGATGTAATATGTGTGTCATGTATTGGACGGATGGATGGACGGATGGACGGATGGATGGATGGATAGATCGATGAATGCACGCATGTATTCATGCATGCATGCATGTATGTTCTATTATCTGGGTATCTATGTGTACGCATTTATTTCTGTACCTATATGAGTTTATGTACGTAAAAATTCTACATACATGCATGTGCGCATGCATGTATGTATGCCAGCCAGCCAACCAGCTAGCTAGCTAGCTAGTTGCTCGCCAGGCAGGTCTGCATGTACGTGCGCATGCACCAACACAGGTACAGGAAGTACGGGAACACCCCGGCAAGAGATGTTTTCTGCCGAGGGCTCTCAGCACAAAAAGTGAGCTTTGCCTCGACAAGGAGTGGCATCGTCGTGAAGATGGGCGAGGGCACAACCAAGTTCCAGGCCAGCTGCATTCAGTTTGTGCCAGTGTCGGGGTGTTTCTGCGCATGCTGTGCGCATGAACCCAATGCTCAGCAAACCAACGTGCTTCAGTAAGACACAGCCTAAACTGTTGGTGCCCGATACTCAGATACTCCAGGATCACTCGCCCTTCTTGGAATTCTTTGTTTTCGCACCATACCCCCAGACACCTGTCCCACACACCAACACGCAGGTAGGTGACCGCGTGGCCGTCCCTTTTATCCTCAGCTGCGGCGCATGCCGGCAGTGCGCAAGGAGCCGACCTACCATATGCGAGGCAATGTGGGGCTATGGGTTTTGGGGTCTGGGTTTTTTTTTAGAGTTTTGGGGATCGGTGCTGCGGGTGCTTTAGATCTCACGCCTTACGCAATGTAAAGGTGGTCTTGAGACGAATGATAGAGCAGGCGCCCTTCACGTAAGACTTGCGGCCGAGTGAGCCCGACAGCAGTCGCTCTGGCCATCAACTGCCGTGTCTTTGTTGGAACAAACCAGACGTTCTTATTCCGTGTATTTAGGTTCTTCCTTCCCAGAGGAGGATGACGAGACATTCTACTGGTTCCCATGAACCAGTTGAAGATATGTGGAAAGCCTTGTATGTGTGTGTACATGTATGTATGTATGTATGCATGCATGCTTGTATGTATGTGTGGGTATACATACGTCTGTATATCACTACTATATATACATAATATGTATACATACAAACACTGGCATCAGGTCTGTAAGTGTACATACACATAATATATATATATATATATATATATACATATATATATATATTGTGTGTACACATAGAATAAAATTACAGAGAGAGATTGGGAGGAGAGAGAGCAGGTTGAGTGAAAGCTGTGTTTCTGTCCATGTTCTCTGCGCAGGAGAACAGACACATACATTTGTGTGCATATGTATGCGGACTCATGTACACCTGCAAGGACGTACATGGATGTAAATATGGATGTATATGCATGTATGCATTCAGGGTGCGTTCACTGTACTTATCTTGCACGTATACGTACATGCACACATGCCTAGAAGTCTGTACGTACTTACAACTGCACTTGCACATGTATCCTCGTCGTCGTAATTAGTGTCTGCATCTTCTCCATGCGAGGCACAAGCTCAGCCGGGCTTTACCTTTCCGGGTGGCTTCGCAGAGTTCGTAGCGACGCTCGCAGCTTTTGGACGGTAGGTTTACAGGCATTTATATTTGTCTGGCATTCTTCGATTGTGCATGTAAAGCTGATGCCAAGGATACCCCGCGCGGACCGAAACTGCAGCCTCATACCACCGAAGGCAGCATGGGATGAATGGTAGTTCTAATGGGGCTTGAAAGTTTGTCGTGGGTAACTGTGGTACTATGCCTCCACGAGAAAAAACGAAGCAATTTGGGACGACTTCGACGTCACATCCCGAACTGGTACTTGATCCGAACGGCTTCAATGAAATTCCACAAACATCATCAGACATGTGTTCGTGTGAGACTCCAACTCAGCGACAAAAGACAAACCATCGTCAATGACCACACGCGTGCTGCATCACCTTCGACAAGTTTGAGAGGAAGTGGGTTGCAGAACGGGTTTGTCAAAGAACAGCGGTTCATACAATGTCAACCAGCTCAAACAGTAGAACAACGTACTAGCTGTCGGCATAAGGGTGAACAATTCAGGTACCATGTACTCGAGTCTACTCGCTTGTCAGGCTGTTAAACTCAAGTTGTTCCGCTGACACGCTAGGAAGCATCGTAGTCTAGAGCTTTCCTCAACTCATAGCCTTCACGATGGTAGAAATCTGGGTCTGAGACATTCTGAGACCTCATCAAACCAGAAGACCGCAGTAAGCGCAACGGTATTTCAATACCCCAGCGCTGGATTCGGTTCAACACGGTTCAAGGTCTCGAGGTCGTGGTTTGAGGGTGAAGGTTTTAGATAGTTGAGGGCCTAGAGGCTTCCGAGTATTGGGAAGTTGGGGAGTTGTGGAGCTAAAGCAGAGTAAAGGGCTCACGCAAGGTTACCTCTGGCCCAGCATAAACAACAGATTTTCGCTTGTCCCGTAACCCAAAACAGTTTCGGCGAACAGAAGGGTCGCTACGTTCTGACCGCGAAGGTCGAAGTCCTGCTCATGGTATGAGGTAGTAGTAGTCGTAGTAGTAGTAGTAGTAGTAGTAGTAGCAGTAGTAGTAGTAGTAGTAGTAGTAGTAGTAGTAGTAGTAGTAGTAGTAGTAGTAGTAGTACACTACTTCTGCTACTACTACTGCTACTGCTACTGCTACTACTACTACTACTACTACTACCACTACTACGACTACTACTACTACTACCACCACTACTACTACTACTCCTACTACTACTACTACTACTACTACTACTACTACTACTACTACTACTACTACCTGCTACTGCTACTACTACTACTACTACTACTACTACTGCTACTACTACTACTACTACGACTACTGCTGCTACTACTACTACTACTACTACTACTACCACTACTACTACTACTACTACTACCACTACTACTACTATCACTACTACTACTACTACTACTACTACTACCACCACGACTACTACTAGTACTACTACTAGTGTGAGGGGTTGATTTGGGTTTCGGGCCAAGGATTGCAAGCCCGAATCTTAAGCCGCATCGAGTCTTTGAGCAAAAGCTCCTGTTGGAAAAGAGGTTGCCAACCTGAAGCCAGCACTAAACCGTACTTGGAGGTTGATGGGTAGATATAAATGGAGGTAAATCCCTTAAATGGGTTAGTGACCCTAAACCCTAAACCCTTACATGGGTTATGAACCTAAACCCTAAACCCGAATCCTTTAATTGGTAGGAGGGAAGAAATCCTTTAAATGCGCTATAATGTCCCTCCAAGCTGAGCCGGTGATCTTCCCAGAGACTCCAATATCCCTTAATTAAGGAATATTCCTTAAACCATATTAGGGATCCTACTATAATTTAGGGTATATTCCTTAATTAAGGGGTATTGGAGTCTCTGGGTTCCAAGCAGGTCTCCTTCCTACAGGCTGCAGCTCTGGGATGTCGAATGACGACCGCATATCGAGCCGCGGATCGGTCTGCAGAGTGGTGGGAGTTTCCGAAAACAAGGGGTACCTTTAAAGGGTATACAGGGATCTATAAGGGTTCTACAAAGGGTTTAGGGTTTAGAATTTCCGAAGATTAGGGGTATCCTATTTTGATGTTCCTTTTAGTATGGACCCGAGTATTTGGGGTACTAGATCGTGGTTTCCTAGTCTCGGAAACCCCCACTTGGTGTTTGCTTTCTTGGTTCCCAAAGGGGGGGGTTTGGAGTTTCGGATTTCAGCTGCAGGATTTCAGGGCTAGATCCAGACTCCTCAGTGTCAAGCAGTACCCCTCAGGTCGCAGGGCTTCATTTTTGGGTCAGGGGCTTAAGTTTGTTTGCTGGTTTAGGATTGTCCGCGTAAAGCTGCTTAGTCAGAGGGATAGAGGAAGCCCTGTCTGATTGAAAGTTTGTTCATGAAGCGGGAGCAGCCGAAGATGCGCACGAAATGAGGTCATGCAACAGGGCCGATTGAAGCCGGGTGAAACCCTGGCAGTGTTTGGCTGCGGTGGTTTGGGACTGTCAGCGGCCACTCAGATGATTGTCTTTTTCTCGCCAGATACCGTTCATGTCGCATAGCCACGCTCTCTTGGCATGAACAATCAGACCCACAATGACACAGATAGCCTGATACCCCCTACAATATTCTGGCATAGAGCTTGAACCACGCAAAAGGCTTGTTACAGTTCAAGGCACATGCCTTAGTTAGGCTAGGGTGTATGTGGCGCTTAAGTGGGGTTGGGATGCGAGGTGATGGTTGCCTTGGCCGCGGCAGAAAACGTGCGAGTCTTGGCTGTGGATCCAAGCGAGGAGGCATGCAGGAAAGCTGCTTGTCTGCAGCAGGAGTCAATCTTACCATAATTTCAGATAATACTAGACCCGAATGCTAACCTAAAGCCTTGCCTGCCTTGTGCGAGTGTATAAGCGTCGAAATAGCAATATGGAGCCCGAATTAAGTATGAGTATAAGCCTGACTGTAGAAACCCCCATCTGTGCCGCGCATGGGTCGGACTTCAGGCTTCTGCCATGGCACGCGAATTGGGAATCATTTGCGGAAAGGTTCGGGGATCCGCTGAAGGTACATGCATTCGCTTGTGTTTGCGTGCGCGTGCGTGTGAACGTGTTGTTTCTGTCTCGTGACCTTGCCAGTTGAAAGTGGGCGTAAGTCGCTGCATTTTCTGGATCACTGGCCCTGACCGGAACAGGGTCAGAAGAACGAACCCGAACCCTGGATATATAGCCACCGCACATCCAGAGGAGTCTTGACCATCTTCTACTTGCACCTGCCATTGCAACACTTTGTAAGTGCCCTGGAACCGCGCCCCACGGAGTCTCTTCCGATGAGGCCGTGGAGCTCGGTGCCTGGCATGTCTCTTGGCCATGGAATTAATATACGATCCCACATAAGTAACAATACTCTGGGGGGGTCCTTGTTATAATTATGGTACATTTTGTCCAAAGCCTTGTTCAAATTATTAAGGCCCCTATATTATAGTACCCTTAAAGATCCCTTATAGTGTCCCCTATATTATAGCCCAAAGCCTTATTCTAATTACTAAGGCCCCTATTCTAGACTCGAAGCTGAAGCTTCAAAGCTTCACCGAAAATCGGTTCCATCATGGCGCCCCCAGGCCCGAAGCCAAAGCTAGGTCGTAAGTTGGCCACCTGCATAGTCGTGGCTCGAGGCCCGAGTTTCCCAGTCCTGCAAAGCCTGGGGCTAGCCAGCAAGATGTGAAATTTGGAAGCATAACAGAGATATGGAATCAGTATTAGTAAACCCCCGTATAGTTGCTAATGTAGTTCTACTATCATGTGCCTCAAAGCTATTGTTATTATTGTTATTCATCAACGCCTCTATAGTCTCAGCAGACTTGTAGTAGAATATGCCCCCGACCCCTTTTCGATTTATGAAGGCCCCTACATTGCGAGCACCTGATCCGACGAATTGCAGCCTGCCCAAGGCTTTCGATGCGAAGGAAGGCAGGCTCCAGCAAAATCGGCTGTTGTATAGCATAATACTACTGTAATAAGATGTAAGAAAGCCCGTATAATATAGGTAAGCCAATATCGCATTATAGCACAACAGAGTATCGCACAGTGAAGTAAGGTATGGTACAATAGTCTCTCTCTTTGTCTCGCTCTGTACTCTGTTCATGTCTTGATAACCCGGCAGCATGTCTGCACAGTGCCCATTGGGCTTCATGCATTCAGCCTCAGCTGAATAGGACTATACAACCCGTATACTATAAAAGACTATAAGGGAGGGTATAATATAATATACTCAATATGGGAGTTTCCGAAAATTGGGGGTACCTTATTCTGGGGTCCTTCGAGTAAGGATCCTGTTATTTGGGGTGCTACATGAGGGTCCGCTATTTTCGGAAACTCCCATCTACGTTATACTATAAGAGAGGCTATAATATACTATACTTTAAGAGAGGCTATAACATACTATACTGAATATAGGGTTGCCAGTTGCCACTGCATGTCAAGCTGCGCGTTGGGGCGAGGTGACGAATATGTTCGAGCCAAAGTTGCCGAAGTCGCTTGGCTGGCAGGAACATAACCGCAACAGTAGTAGTAGTAGTAGTAGTAGTAGTAGTAGTAGTAGTAGCAGTAGTAGTAGTAGTAGTAGTAGTAGTAAGGACAATTAATATAGTAGTACAAAGAATAATGCTGTAACAATTAATTGCAAACAATTATTCTAGGAATAAACATAATAATGACATTACTAGTTCTAATCCTTGTTATTGTCTATCCCAGGTTTGGCTTGTAGGTGAAATGCACAAGCTCCAATCAGGGAGGGAAGGCCTGTGAGGGAAACTCTGCTTGTTGATAGCAGCCCGCACACAATGATTCTTTCGATCATTACAACATGCGTGGAAGCGGGTGCGTGAGCATGAGTGAGCCGTTGGAAATATGTGTCCAGCCTCACCATCCTATTGAATCCAACCACCGGTGATTTATTGCGTTGGGTCAAGAGTGATCAAGACTGCAAAAGAACTAAGCTCCTGTGACCAACTCGACAGCAGCCGCGGTCGCATCCCACGAGACGTTACTAAATAGTACCGCAGTGCTCGATGTGTCCTCCCATCTTTTGCCATGAAGCCTAGAGGCTCTGAACCCTCAGGGGAATAGTCAATAGGTTTATAGTTGTTTTGGTTCCTTATTCCTGGGGCAGCTTCAGGTCACCGCCGGATTTGGTGCGGACGTCACAGTCGATGCAGCAGGTTTCGCCAAGTCCTGTGAAAATGCAGCTGCCCGGCATCGATTCGGAGATGGAGATAGGCGCGGAAGCCTTCCAAGTCATACAGTCGAACAGTGGGCACCAGCAGGGAATCAGCTAAGATAAAGTGAACTACCAGGTGACAGAGTCAAAGTCTCCTATGCAACCTACAGCCAAGGTTTGGTGCACCAGGCGCGGTGGTCGACTCAAGGCTAAGTTTAGCACAAGAGGCTCTTAAATCGGAGCACTTTCGCGCATCTGAAGGTGAAGGAAGAAAGTCGCCCCACCCTAAACCCCGTGTCTCGGTGTCTCGCATGTTTTTTTTTCCGAGTTTCAGCGCCGAAAGCCCAAACTCTAACTGAAGGGCTGAGTCATGTGGACTACATGGAAGTTTCCCAAAATTAGGGGTACCTCACTTTGGAGTCCTTGTATTAAGGATCCTCCTTTCGAGGGTACAAAATTAGGGCCTAACTAGGGTCCCATATTTTCGGGTTTCCCTATTTTCGGAAACTCCCATGTGGAGCCTTCCCTGCCTTGTGCGAATGTCGCCTCCATGGTTATCTCCTAAAATATATTTTATGTTACAATATAGTATATTAGATTGAGTTCGCTTGCATTAAGGAATTGAGTCAATATTACGTCGGATATCCTTGTCCGTCATCAGTTTGTCGTAATTAGCTCTGGTTGGGTTCTTCATGTCGCTGCGATGTGAGAGCTTCAGAAAGTAGAGAAGCCTTTTATCGACCTAAGTAAGCGGATGCTGCTGGTATGGACCTCCGAGTACACTATATTGCTATCACGGGAGAAGCGTACGAGGCCTACGTAAAACCCGATACAGGCCTCTTCAAGAATGGCATGAGATCACCAAGGAATGGTCCAAGTCGGCCTACCGCACGGCGAGGTGGCAAAGGGTCATGCCAATCCCACCTATGCCACCCGAGATTGCCCAAGTATAGCATGACGTCTCCTAATGGGTACCCGCACGAAAGAAAGCAAAATGAGACACATTAGCTACCGTGTTTTGGGCCGTTGCATTGAGAAGAAGCTACCCCGGGCCCCGGATGACACGACTTGCCAAAGTCGAGAACGACCTTCCGTGTCACCCCCCAGCACCGTCACCAGGATCGGAGTATACACCCGAGAGTGTTCGAGAATCACAACCTTGGCTCACGGAGCCTTGATCGTTACCCTCGCCTAGGGCATAGGAAACCCCACACCTTAGAAGCTGAGTAGTAGGTAGTTTTTGACCTTTTGGGGTTTATATTCCTACCACAATTCAAGAGGTTACGTAACCTTTTTATACCTTTTTTGGACTAGGGTATTCAGCCACTCAGCCATAACTGCAAGCTCCTAAACCCCTAAACCCTATCACCCCGAGACCATGGGAAACGCAAGCGTGGACGGTGCAGGAGCCACGTCTACCAATGGCACGCGTCGCAGGGCTGGAGATCGAGATCATAGGCTCCTGCGGTGCATCCATATACTATACTAGAATATAATTTAATTACTTGACGTCATAATAAATTGTAAATACTCTACTACAATACACTATAATAGAGGTTATAATGTACTATGCTGCAATATAGGGCAGCCACTTGCAATCCATGCCAAGGGGTTTGCTGATGTACGCTGGCAGGTTCTCATGGCTTGGCAGCAACGGACATGCCCCTGCTGCTCTCCATGGTGGCCGCAGGAAAGCTGCAGCCGGAAAAGTTGGTTGAGCGCGTCTTGTCCACAATTAAAAAGAACCGCTATGCCTGTCGGCGGTGGGTGTATTGTGTATGTACATACATACATACGTGCATGCATGCATACATGCACACACACACACATATATATAGATTCTTATAATTGTACAGTTATACATGTACACATTAAAAATGTTTTGTATCATGCCATGCTATAGTATATATTATCAATGTTGTATTATGTTGTGTTGTGTTGTTTTTCTTCCGATTCCGAAATGTCTTTGAGCATGTGGCGACTGCAATATACTGCACTTCTCTGCTTCTCAGGTTTCCGACGGCTGAGTTCCTAGGTGCTTCCCGGGTTGCGTGAGTCCCAAACACGCTGCTGTTGCCGGAAGGGTTAGGGCTTAAAACTGGGTACTGCCCCCTCTCTGTGGCAGTTGGATAAAATGTGTAGTGTATTTTTTTATGCAGTTACTACGACCCCAATATAAACTGTTACAGGGTGGGGCAGTACCCAACATTTAAGTTAAGGGTTTAAGATGTCATGCCACCGTGAGGCGAAGTCAACCTCGAAGAAGGGGCCAAGGCCGGGGACATCTTTCTTTAGGGTTTGTGATTTAGGGTTTAGGATTTAGACTTTAGGATTTGATTAGGATTTAGGGTTTTGGGTTCGGTGATTGCAGCGATAGTTCCAGTTTCTTGGCTCGCTAGGGTTAGGAACCTGAGTCAGAGGGACTGAGCTTCAGAGCGTGGGTGTCTGGGTTCAGACAGAGGGGTCTAGGGATGTTGAGGTTTTGCGGTACCCCAGCAAAGTAGAGTCTTTACTTGTCCGCACCATTAGTCTTATAGTTATAGGTTCTTCTCTTTTCCATTATCAATACAATATTACTTGCTTCTTCGTATTACACAAGACTACCAAAACACTAAACCTTACGCACAAGTCGAGAAGTGTACCAAGGCCATAACAACACCTTAAAATAAAAACAAAAGCGCCGAAATCCGTTGGAAGTTCGCGGAGGCTCTGGAGGCCATGGCGAATGGCTCAGCCTTGGGCATGACCATGATCACTCGCTTCAAGGACAAGGACACGGGTTGGGGCTCAGGGTCTCGGCTTTAGGTGGATACGAGCCGATTTTTTCGATACTGGTTTCTTAGTTTCTGGATCCTTGGCAACAGGTCGGAGGGTCAGTCCTGGCAGCCAGCAAGCCCGGGTTCAAAAAAGGTGGATGTAGAGGGAGTTGAGGGGTTTAGGGAGCTGTAGAGGGTTTTGGGGCAGACGGGGCTGGGGTTTAGGGCTGGTGTGGCCGGCTTCCCAGCTGAACACGAAGTCTGGGCTTCCAAAAACAAGGGCTAGTGACACGATCCGACCGTACGAGCATTGAATTGAATACTGTAAAAGTATACTATACAAAAATGGCTTCCAGTCATTCTCTTGAATGTGTGTCGCTTGTGTTATCATTTAATATTATGACCAGGCTTGTCGTAAGCTTACAGGAGAGGGCTGCGTCCGAGTACCTAGTTTGAGGCTTCGTGGAGCAGCGGAGTCTGGCATGTTCATGACAGCTTTCCCGTTGTGGTGCGTAGATCCTTCCAGAGATACCAAGCCAGGCTCTGACTCTAATCATTCGCTTCGATGGCATCTTGTGGACACGAAGGATGCTGAAGCAGCAGCAAAGCGGGCAAGGACTTCCTGAGCCGAGGAATGTACCATGTCACTCAGAGCAGGGAGGCTAGCTCTTCAGCCCGCTTCCCTCGCGAATAATTTGTAGAGAACTACCTCCTCCAGAACGGCAGTCACGAAGACCGCCTGTTTAGCTTCTTGGCATGCTGTGCAATCTTGCTGCAGCCTTCTCAGCAGCTCTAGCTGCTCTAGCTTCTCCCTCCAACCTGTCCCTCGGAGCTCGCTACGATAGGGGTCGGAATGTCGTCACCGCGAACACTGCATACGGCAAAACCCTATTCTAATTTTTGGGAGCCCTTGATTACAGAGCCCTGAAAGAGACGAACCTCAAGTTTCTTAACTCCCCGGTGTTAGCGAAGAGCTCCTGTCGGGGACTTTTTTTGCTGCTTTCAGCTTCGAGCGCTGTCGCTGAGAGGAAGCAAAAGTGTTGATGTTCTGCGGAGCGGATTTGGGGTTCATGGCTCAGGGTGTGAGAGTTGGCAAGGTTCACACTTCAATCACAGCGGGGCACCAACGAACCTCAAGATGCAGCATCCTCACCAGTATTCAAGTGTTGGACATAAACGGCTTTTGACATGAGCTCCAAGCTTGCGACTCCGACCGCAACCACCATCGACCAAACAACTGAGCTCGCCCTACACAAGGATCCCCAGGAGACAAAGAGAGATCCTCACCCAGAGCCGTCCCCAGCATGCCCAGGTGCCCAACTGGCTCGGGGCAACTTCGCTGAGCTCCCTTCCCTGCTCAGGGCCTCCGGCCTCCTTTCATCGACAAGGCCATCTCGGCTCGGGGGCTGGGGTTCGTTGATTCGTTGCAGTCTCTGCCCAAACAGACAAGGATTTCAAGGGCTGGAGGAGCAGGACCAGGCAAGTGGCATGGCAATGAATCCTCATGATGGCTTCTCACCTGCCATGACCTTCCGTGATTAGCTGGGCTGCGATGCAGCAGTGTTTGTATCCGGCTGTGTTTACTAATGAGCGTCTACGAAAAGGATCTTCGCTTTACAAAGACATACCTAGCATTGCATCTATGCTGAAGCTTCTGTGGAGAGCCTCTGTGAGCGCTTCAAGCATCGACTGCACGTGCGAGACACACCTCATAGACGATTTTGTGTGCTTCCAAGCTGAACTGGCCCAGTTCAAGCGGGCACCCAAACATACAACAGGGCCACCGTGTCACCAGTCCGTTTCCTTCCTCTGGTTTATGTCACACTTGGCATTGCTTGCAGGCCTGAGACCCCTTCGATGCAGGTGTTTCGGCAGTTCAGTGCTGTGAGTGTCTGAGTGTTCGGACAGTCAACCTGTCTCCGTTTGGACAGGGTAGTTTAAAGACGGATGTCTCAAAGATGCGGACAGCACATTGAGCGCGGTGAGAGAGTTCATTCCGGAACACAAGAAGGCCGATCTCCAGCGAGGCCGCAACAGCATGAACTAGTTAACTTCTTGAGCTACTTTCATAATAGGGTCAAAACTATAAAGGTGGTTGAACCAAAAAAGGAACTACGTAACTACGGCAAGAGCCAAGAGCTTCTCGGCATGACCACATCGTAGGGTCTGCTTATGATAGGTTCCGCAGAGCGGACAGCAGACGGTGTCATCGAATCTTGCGCTCCATGGAAAGCCCACAACATCACAGCAAAAGCCTGTCGACTAGAGAACTCAAAACCAGTCGAGCTGGCTACGGAGGCCGCAATGTGATGCTGTTCTAGCCGATCTCGGTTGGAGCCTCAGAGACTGCTTTCCCTCACGGGTCGCACTGGAGAGGCTTGCAAGCATGAGATGGCTGTAAAAAGCACGTGTAAATCCCCAGGTGTCTCCTCTCCGCAGCTGGATCGCGCAGAGCGCGGCTTCAGCTTTCGCAGTGACGGCCCGCTGGACATGCGGATGGACTGCCCGTGGGTTGTGGATTGGGTTTGTGGACCATTGAACAAGAAACACAGTCGCCATGGTATCGTTTCCGTGTAGCCAAGGTCTGACGCTTCGACGACGAGTCGTAGTAGTGTGTCCGGTAATGCTTTCTCCATTGCCATACAGTGCTCATGACGCTCCCGAGCATCTCTACAGATTACAGTGGATACTCTGGAGTCCATTAACAATTACATAACAAAATAATAGTAGTATAGTGGGCCCCAAACCCTATCCTACTTATTCAGGCCTCCATATTCGTGCAGTTCACGGCACCTTCTCGGTTTAGAAGGATCTTTTACACCTTGCAAGACTCTTGAATTGGACTAGAGTAGTAGAGGGCCTCTACTTTTGCTTGGGGAAAATCCGACAGAGACAGGCCAGGCCAGACATGTTTCCATGGGTCCGTGATGGGTGAAAGGAGCAGCCGGATCTGTTAAAGCAACACAGCAACATGCAATAAATAGTCAAAACACAACCTGGGCCACCCATAATTTGTTTCCAGCTTTGAGTGCCGAAGTCCCAAAACCCCCCATGCAAGATCCCCGAAACATAATATGTACAATTACACATTACATATTGTATGTATGTATATATATATATATATATATATATATATTCTTTATTACTTATTTATGGAGAACCCTCAACTCTAATCTTTGCTGAATCCTGACTGGGAGCCTGGGCTGCTTGGAGTAGGACGCCACGGATCCAGCACTTCGATCAGCAGCCTGGTGAGCCCGGATTGGTTTTGCATGCCATCGGGGCCTGAATACATATTAACAACTCATGTCATTGTTAAGTATAGTAATAATCGTAATAATGATGTTCCGTACGGTTCCTCATTGTATAATCTGAGTATACTACAACATAAACCCGAGCGGATAGCACGGCAGAGAGAGACAGAGAGAATATAGCCCCTTGACTTTACAGCCGAGGCCCTCAAGAGAGAAACTCCAGGGGGCAACGGACGGACACCCTGCGAACCGCGGGTGTGCGCTCGCGCACGGGGGAAGCGACAGGACGCTGTCGCGACCCCGAAGCCCAGTAGAGAGAGAGAGAGAGAGAGAGAACATAGCCCCAAAGCCCTATCTGTTTGGCCCCTATATGGATGCACTCATATATTATTTATAACTTCTACTGCAGATTAGGGGTTCGAGGCGTGTAGTAGATTATGGACTTTTTGAGGACTGCAAGGGTGCAGACCCCGATGGCAGTTTCTACTGCATCATGATTGCTACGACTGTGGCATGACTGCAATTAGGCAGTGGAGTTGAATACTGAGGCTTTTCAAAGGCTTCCAAGTGCAACGGCCCTGTTACATGTTGATGTCTTGCACTGGCTGGACTTCGTGAGATGGACGGTCTAGCGGAGCTTATGCAGCACATGCCGCACCTTGGCGTGAGGGTTGTCAACACGACATGAGTGCTTGCACAGGTACGTGGCCAACTTGCCACCTCATGAGCTGGAGAAACACATCTGCGAGTGGGCTCCTCAGAAGGGCTTGAGTCTGAATATCCGAGTACGAGCTTCTGGTCAGACTTGCCTGGATCTTGCGCAGCAGAGTAAGCAGCACAACGAGTTGTGGCAAGGCCTAAGCAGGTTTGGGTTCGCAGGCTGTGGCCCTCAAAGGAAGCCGCCTGATCTGTGAGTTGCAGTTGCACTTGCTTCCTGCTCCGTGAAACTACATTCTTCCGACCGTCGAGACAGACGCTTCGGTCCACCTGAGGTTGGGCGAGGAGGAGGGGCGACAGAGAAATGCGAAGGTTGCAGCTTGAGAGTTAACACCTTGTTCATGTTGACCGCTGTCTTTCATGGTGGCTTGTTCTACGATCTGCCCTTTTTCTCCTGGTTGCTTCTGTTAGCCCATGCCAGGCTTCTGTTAGCCGTTAGCCCATGCCAGGCTTGATGCCGCCAAGTCTTGTATATCCACAACAACAGGAGCCCAGCTTTGCAGCCCGCGTGGCCAGCCGGTTGGTCGTTGCGAAGCCACAGACCACCCGCCAGGTTGGTGGGTTCAAGTTTCCCTGAACCTTAAACCCCAAGTCCAAGTGCGAGAGCTGATTGTTTATGAAGTTCATGATCGTAACCACTGGCTATATAATATGTTGTTACTGCTGGTGCGATTATGAAGTCATGTAGTTGTCAATGATGACGACGATGATATTGATGGTGATGCCGCCGCTGATGCTGATGATATTGGTGATGTTGACGGTGATGATGATGATCTTGGCAGGGTGGCGGTTTCTTTTTTCAGAACATTACCATGGGTCATGAGAACTCCGGATCCAGGCGCAGTCACCGCACGCATACCTCCACCCATGAGCGGGCTCCATGTTCCTCAAGGAACAGGTTTTGCCTGAAGAGTATGGGGCTCTTTCAGGCTCCCCGCTCTGGAAACCGGAAAGAGGAACTCGCTGCGGGCATGAGAGGAAGACCCTAAATCCGACACCTCTGCAAGTCTACCCAGACCCAAAGCTCTATTGCTTGCGATGCCGGAGCAACAAAAATCACCAAAAGACCTCACGCCTTACAGCCCTAAAGTGATAAGAGCGTTTGGATGGGGGTGGGCAGTGAAGATGGTTGAATGTTTCGTCGCCCTACTGAGCCCGCCGTTTTGATCCTGGGCTGCCTGATGACGAGATATGTTGTTTCGGTGTTGTTTCAGTTGTTTTGGATAGCTGTCCTGCTTTGTGGAGGAGGTGGGGGCATGATGAATCCGTCTATTTGTAGTTGCTCGCTTGATGCTTGACGATTCATAATTCAATGTTCGAAGACAGGACGTGTTCAGGACCTGTTTGTTGTCTAAGCGCAGGCACATCGCGGACATAGTGTTGATGTAGGGCTTAAAGGCTGCCC